TCATTTTACAGTATCATTTACTCGTGGGTTATGCTGGATTAAATGTGACAATTATTAATTTTCAAATCTACTAACTACGAAAGATACAATTTTCTAAAAAATGAATTATAATTACATCATAAAGGAGGGTGTTAAGAGAAATGGCCATTTTTGGCATCGCCTGGAAATGAAAAGTTCATGCAGGATCTTTTAGAGTGTCTCCCAAGGAATAAAAAATGTCGGTATCACTTTCCTGAGAAACGATGGGAAAGTTGTCGGAACTTGCGTATATTTTACATTTCATCGTCTTCTTCTATGGATATCGAACCGTTTTCGAAATAAGTATTAAGGAACTCAGCAGGCAGATGAATTGAAGCTTGAAATCGAGCAAATCCAAAGTACCATATAATCATGGCTACATGGGAACAGCAAACGCAACGCGTACTCCGACTTTGCATCCACATGAGTGTGCAAGTACGGTTTTACTTTTATCAATTAGTACATATACAAAGTATTTGAAACTATTTGAATGTCGTGAATGCAGTTTCGTTTGAAGTAAAATAGCGTTAATTGGTTCCACATAAATCTGGAATTTTTTAAAATCAATATTGTACGATGGTACTGCGACTTGAAATTCAAAATCTCCGCTGTCGTTTATGTGGTCGCCGTAATAACCAGATCCTTGCTTCATTTGGTACGTTCTACATGCGTATAAGCATAGATCGTTGTGGAAACTCGGAAACCATTAACAGTTGAACAAGTCAATGAATTGATATTCATTACAAAATATCAATATAATGTCGAAGTAATCGCAGGACGTATAAGAAATCGTTAAATATTTCGAGAACAGTTCGATATCCGAAGAAGAAGACGACGAAATGTAAAATATACGCAAGTTTCGTTATCATCACATTCATACTTTGAACGTATTTTTGACAACTTTTCCATCGTTTCTCGGGAAAGTGATAAGGACATTTTTTGTTTCTTGGAAGACACTCTAAAAGATCCTGCATGAACTTTTCATTTCCAGGCGATGCCAAAAATGGCCATTTCTTAACAACCTCCTTTGAGTACGCGAGTGCAACAATTATCGAGAGATCAAATCTATCAACTATGAAAGATGTAACTTCATAAAGAATTATAATCAGAGTCTGGACAGTAAAAATAAATCCTTCAGGATACTCAAGCTCGAGGAGCTTCGCCTTTTGAGAATCGCTGCTGAATGACTATCGCACGACATGCAAAGTGAATCGATCTCGATTCTTACGTCACGTAGCCCCGTGGTGTTAGTTAAGAGTTACGAGTGTACGTGATTTGCGTGACAATCGAGCCGGTCTTACTCATTCGCCGCGATGATCTTGGGACTGTGATCTATCTATCAATCTAGCCATGTCTCTTCCAGTGCTCTGCAATTACGAACCTTCGAATCATTTCTCTAATTTCGTTTCAATAATTATATCCTCATTGTATATGAATCTTCAAGGGATTTCTAAAAAAAATCGTTCAAATTATCATCATCGATCATTTTCAAATGTCAAATGTTGCCCTCTGTTTATCTAGTAACAATACAATTCCAAATATGAAGATTCGGATCTATCCTAAGTTCACATCTGTGTCATATCTATAGCTTCGTGCCTATTGTTACGCATTCTGCACCTGGCTCCATCTAAAAAGGAGTGTTTGCCTCAATTACAGCCTACCCCTCGTAAGAATGAAACACCCTGTTCACGCGTCCCATTGTTCTCGGCATCCTAAGAGCCCCAGGAGTGGCAGCTGCAGCGCTGAGAAAACATCGGAACGATTTTCAAAAAGGCCATGACCCGCACCCGGAAATTAAATAGTTCCAAGAGCTGGAATGCGGATAGAGAGCTCGGTTTGATAAAAACATGAAAAATATTTACGATGATAAAACGGCGCCGACGTCGATTCGCATGGAAGTCTATGAGTCACAGGATGTCCTTGGAACGTGAAAACGTCGCATTACCATTTTATGGGGACCCAGTTTTCCACTCGACGAATAATCATATCGCGTTCCTCCGTTCTTCGACTTTTATTGGACTCGGAGGTCTATTTCTACATGGACTATCGGGACGAATATCTAGTAAATCTTTAAGTTCATTTATAGTTCATTTTTTAGAAATTGTACCTTTCGTAGTTGGTAGATTTGATTATCCTTTAATTGTCCACTGTCTGGGCCTTTAATATCAACGAACAGTCTGCAAAATCTTTATTCTGAACATTACTGAGTATAACTCTGAAGAAAGGCTTTTAAATAAGGTATTCCGTTAAATAAGAAACACTGAACTGTGAACAAATGGTTTTACGAGAGATTCGTTTACGATTACGGAACTGTTCAAAACAGGGCTTCCTGGAATTGGGATACTTTCACTCCTAACAAATCAATGCAAGTTTTTTTTTCTCGCACGATGCTTATATACATATTCGAGCCTAATCAAATTCTTTTCCCTCTTATATACATGACACCAACAAAATATTTCCTCAGACTCCTCATAGGTACGTATAAATATCCTACAAAAGGAGAAATCTGCACTCGCATCCATTTCCTTGGAATTAAATCCCAAAGGAAGACTTACTTCGTTCCGGAGCAACGAGTGCTCGCGAAGACCTAGGATGTAATCTCTGGAATTTGAAATGGACTTTCGATAAATGTCAGCCTCTCCTAAGTGAGTCGCGGCAGTATTTATTTATTTATTTGTTGCTTTTAAACCGAATATGGTTTATATAGCATACGCTACATAACATATCTTAATGCGCCTTTTTTACATAGATTAACTTAACTTAAAACTAGTTTGTATAGCGTCTGTGTGCTTACATTATTTTAACGAAATAAAATTATAATAATAATGATTATATAAATTAAATTAAATTAAATTCTTATTGCGCATCGCTTAATAAATTCAGATATAATCAGCGGACTTTCATATTTTGGACATTGTCAAATGGCATGATCTAAATCTTGGTTTTCAGCACCACATTCCCAAGCACTGTCTGAAATAAATCTCACTCTGGCTAACGAATTGTTTAGGTTATAATGATTAGAGCGGGCTCTATTGACAAAAGTGACAAAATTCGTAGGCAGCCCACGCTCATGGAACAGTCGCGGCAGTAATTAGGAATCGCTGATTCGGCGAATAGAGTAACACGAACCCAGTTACACAGCGTTGCCTTTATCTCGAGCCTTTAATTCCGCGAACCCTCTGAGATCGGACACCGATCGCCGATTAGAAGTTGAAAGCAAACGCTAGGGTGGCGTACTCGGCGCCAATTGGTCGTAAGAATGTAGGCCGACGGAAGGAAAAAATTGAGGACGATCACGAGGTGCGTGGAGTCACGAAGAAGTCTTCTACGTGACGCGCGACTTCGCCGCGGAAACGATTACTAAACCGATTAGCAATTGGCAACGATGCGGTGCTCGTTTGTGAATCACAACGACGGTAACGATTACGCGATCGTCTCGATATCCCGATTCGGCCACGGGATTTCCCGTTGCACTTGCAAAACAATGCTCGGGAGGTCCCACGAATACGGTGCCACTGACGACCGTGATAGGGACCATGAGTTTATTATGAGGATAACGTGTATTCAGCCTCGAAGAGCCACGAAGAGAGCTAGGGGGTTCCTTGTCCATTTACTTTATTCATTGTACCAGTCAGAAGAGCAGGAGAAACATGGTTTTTGTTCTTAGTAATTGGAATTAACCCCTTCCCGTTGTTGTATTCCGCTTGATTCGTTACTTTTTTATTATTTAACAAGTACAACGTCGAGCGAAATTGAACGAAGTTAACAAAGGTATACGCGTGATACTGACTTTTAAGGGTGTGCGGGATTCCCGAAAATATCCTGGATTCCCGAGTTTATGCGGGATCCCGAGTTGATTCGAGATTCCCGAGAATACGCGAGATCCCGAAAAAATCCGGGATTCCCGACAATGTACGGGATATAGAATAATATCTGAGATTTCCGAAAGTGTTGTTATTCTTGAAAATTTCAGCAATCCGAATGTGCGGGATTTCGAAATTCCGGGAATCCCGAACATTTACGGGATCTCAAAATTCTCGGGAATCCCGAATGGTTTCGGGATCCCGGAAATTCACGGGAATCCCGGATGTATTCGGGATTCTGAAATTCTCGGGATTCCATCCCGATCCTGGGAGGAATTGCCGTCCCGACCGGGATCCCGCACACTCCTACTGACTATAAATCCTCGTGTTGAGACGGTTCGGACAATTCTCTTATTCAAAGGGAAAAGTAGTGGGCTTTGTAGGTTCGGAAAAGACAGAAAATGGAAGCATAGGAATTATCTTATGTTTAGTGGTCGGGAGAGGAGAGGTAGCGAGGTCGAGGTCCGGGATGGATAGTGAGGATGTAATCATCAGTTATCGAAGGAAAGAATTTGAAATGTTTACTGCTGGAGTTTGACAGAGGATGAGAAGAAGGCAGAGTTATCTTAACTAAAGGAAATATTAGGTACCGGAAAAAGTTCGTGCGGTTTATTCGTTAATTGTAACTATATATGTCGATTTTCATGTGGTAATTGACAACTGTAAGACATGAGTTTGGTTTCAGTTTAAAGCTTGATCTTTGTAATTGATATGCATGCTCTGTGGAGTTCAATCGTTTCGTTGTTGTGTAGCTATAGGAACAGTAAACATGTTAAAGTAAACATGAATTTAAACTTGGCAGTAAAGCAGCAAATGCAGCAAGACGCATTTGTAGCGTTTGTGGGGAAGGTGCTGTTAGTGAAAGAACCGCACAGAAATGGTTTAAAAGGTTCAAAGAAGGAAATGAATCGCTAGATGATGAACCGCGTTCAGGGCGTCTATCTGTCATCGAAGACGAAAAATTCATCGAGTACGTAGATTCAAATCCAAGAAAAAGATGTTCTGAGCTTGTTCAAGTATTCGAATGTGAAGAATCTACCATCAAATTCATTTTCAATTTACCAGTAATTCATTTTTTAGAAAATTGTACTTATTAATTGTTACTTGTTCCTTGTACAGATCAAGAGATAGAGCAAAATGGGTTACGGGACGGAGATGGACGGCTGTGGCCGCTGTATGAAGTACTCCCTGTTCTTCGTCAACTTCGTGATCTTCGTAAGTAAAAGAAAATATTCTTTGACGTCTTTGTAACGATCCTCTCGAGGATCACTTCGAGAATCAGTCGAATGTGACACAACATTTCCATTAAATATCATTGATACAGTTTGGTGGAGTTGCCATAGTTGGATTGGCGGTGTGGGCCCTGTTGGACAAGGTGCCATGGATAGGTGAACTCGTGGGAAACGATCTGTTAACAGGTGCGATTTACGTTCTCCTGGCCGGTGGAGTGATCGTCGCTATCATCTCGTTCTTCGGTTGCATCGGTGCGTCACGGGAAGTCAAGTGCATGCTTCTCACGGTAAATATACCCTTTATGTTTATCTCTAGCGATGAGATTAGGAACAATCGACACTATCGATCTCGGATAGTAAAATAGCCTCTCGTGGTATCAAAACTTTTTCCATATCTATGAGATTGTTTAATGTTTATTGGACCGGTCTGGTATTCGACGTCAGGGAGCATCAATTCTGTCCAAATTGAGATATGATGTAATCCATGCAATTACAAGGGTGGTTTATGTCATCACTTTGCTGTTCTCGAATTTGTTTAAAAAATGCAGACCCTCGAAGTAGGCAGTTCAAAAGTAATGAATTTTTTTCTTTTTCCTTTTTGTATCGAGGGATTATAGTACCTGAAAGTACAATGTATAATATCAGCAGCATGCATCGTATCAGTCCCATCGCTAGTCATCGTAGTAGACGTTGTACAAATAGAGCGATCGATTTAACGACGCGAGAACATGTCTTTTCCCAGTACTTCATCATCGTGTTCCTGTTGTTCGTGACGATGCTAATTGGCGGTGTCCTCGCGTACGTGTTCCGTGAGAAATTGGTGAACACTCTCCAGAGGGAAATGTCGAGTTCGATGAGAGTTTACGATAGTCGCAAAGCAGTCAGGGAGGCCTGGGACACGACCCAATCCACGGTGAGTACGCTCGGGAAATACTTAATCGATGAAAAACACAAATTCTTTCTTATGTTTCAATTATATTAGGTGTAGAAATTGATTCTCCGTTTTTCTATGGTAAATATACTATTAGTTATAAAGAAAAAAATCATACAACTTTTAATTCTTCCTCAGTCACAAAATCCAAGACAGTACGTATAGTTAAAAACCAAACGTAGAAGCAATCTGTGTGTTTCATGAAATCATTACTATGAAGATTATTACTCCAATATAACAAAATGGTCAGTAAATACTTCTATTTAAGCTAGATTTATAAATAATATGTAAATGTAAAGACAGAATTAATTTCTACGCCTAATAAATTCCATATAAGAACTTTTTGTCGTACGTTGTAAGAAATCAAAGAATGACGTTGAATAACTAAAAAAGTATTCGATATCCAATATAAGCGACAATTGTGATTAACTATACAAACTACCATGAAGTGTATAAACGAGGCGTTACTAAAATTCTATTTTCCAATAAATTTCAGCTGCACTGCTGCGGTGTTAACGGCTGGAGAGACTGGGGTGATCTAGGACTGAACGTCCCTCAGAGTTGCTGTCGCGAAATCCAACCTGGCCAGGTAAAGATTAATTTCCTTAACGAGCACTCGTAGATGGAATAGTTAACCGTTCGCAAACCCGTGCATACCGAATTGCAGCAATTAGTGACTCAACCGCCACTCATTGGGAATATATACGTTTCAACGTAATTATCCTTCCGAAGTCCAATTACATTCTGAGAAAGTGAAATTTATTTTTTTCACCGCAATACATAATTACCTGTAATTTACCGCTGCTTTTACAAATAACTATCTTGTAAATCTTACGTACACCACGCTGGTAACACGGTTTATATATTACTGTGAAACCTTTATTGAATAATCAATTTTTTTTATGTAATATATCAGCAATCAAACTCGATTGTATCAACGGTCAAGTATTTCTGGAAAGAAGGCAATTTAAAGCTAAATAAATACCCAGCTAAAATAAATTAGTAGAAATCGAATAGAGAAAGCTTGAGCTTGTTTATTAAAGTGCTTACTTATTTTAACGTAACTGTTGCACTCGATAGAGAAAGCATAGCTCCAGCTTTTCTCGTTTCTAGACCACTGTCGTACAGAACACTCTTCGTTTTCGTGTCGAGGTAAAATAGATAAAAAGAAAGGGAACAAGGAATTGAGAGTAATCGCTGCTTTTGTATAATTAAATTTTCCCGGATTTATGGGATATCCTTAGCCTGATACCCACGATCGGTCGAGCAGGTATTACCGACATCGACGGTCGATAATAGAGTCAAGGCTGGAACTCTACCTCAAAGCGATCTCGATTGCAGTCGTCGAACCAAGTCGTAGTCGAAGCATTCGAAACGATTGCACGAAATTTCGAAACACGGCTGGCCTATCGATTACGGTCAGAAAAGCATCCGTTCCGTTGCAATTTCTCGATCGACCTCGGCACTGTTTCGACTCTCACGCTTTCACCAGATTTCGATCGACTTTCCCAAGCCGAATCGCTTCTCATGGGGCTTCCCATCGATCTGTTCCAGCGATTCAACTGCAACGCTGGGCCAGACACAGTGAATCCCTCGAATGCCTACCTCGTCGGGTGCATCAATGGAACGCAGATTTACATGCAAGGACACGCGACGAAGATGGGTGCCGCCGGAATCGCAGTCGCATGTCTGATGGTACGTGAACGTTTTCATACAGAACGTCTAAGTTTTTAATCACCCTATTCAAACAATATTTATATTTCATTTAAAGATATTAATTATATTTTGTTAGTTATAATAATCTTCAACATTTTCTTCACAGTTCTTCGGCATGATATTCTCGTGCGCGCTCTTCAAGATGATAGAATGACGCGGTCGTCGCGTAATTTAAAAACACCTTGGTTCTTCGCGTCGAGCTAATGAAGAGCAAAAGTGGATGACAGCCGTCCTCGAGCGACTCGCATGAATTCATAATCAACGTCATCGTCATTTGAGCGTATCCAGCTGAAGTATCGAGAATCAAAATGCATCTCCACGCGCATCTAACTTTCCAATGTACAGTCTTCGTCATTTTGTTACATTTAGCTTTATCGTACCTTTATTTACCCGTTTCGTTCTTTTTCAATCTCTTTCCTTTCTCCTTTATTTTTTCTTTCTTTGTAATGTATAGCGATACGTTAAGCATTCTCGTTTCATTCTACGTTGTACTATACTATTATATATAATTTTTATGGCAAAACACACACACACACACACACACACACACACACACACACACACACACATTCTGTACCTTGTACGCGTAATAAATACGAACGTGTATAAAAGTATCTCATAGTGGAGGTAAACGTTCGCTCTTTCGGTTCCAAAGGGAGTCCTTTGTCCTTGGAACCTCGTCTGTCTGGGAACAGTCTCTGAATTCCGGAGCTAAATCGATACTTTTTAATACACGACTGGCCATCGTCTCTCCTTCGTTTTCTACATTATTCATAAGTCAGTGATTTTGTTCCTTTGCGATACAGACGTGTTCAAAAGTATCAGACACGTGTGGCTAGGCACACCTGATACTTTAAATGGAATAGTCCAAAGTGCGAGTACCATAATAAACAAAATTTGAATTTTAACTTCGTGCACGTCATAGGGAAATATTAACTAGAATTGTTGCCGATTTCTAATAAAATAATTCGTCCCTCAAAAGGTTAATTATAGAGTGGAATAATTTTACAAAGAGAAAATAGAAGTGTGACGGTTCGCTTGAGTGAACGTCGCCTGTATTAATTATTTAAACGTTGATCAAATTCTCATGTGCCAATTTTACCAAATTACGCTTCTTTCTGGATCCTTGTGTAAATGTTAACGATGGTCCACCGTTTACTGAGCACATCGAAACTTTACAAATAGGAATTCGCCACGATAACGAGAGGTTTATCGAATTCCTTCCTCGACAGATACCCAATCGCGCCCTTTAATTTCGTTAACGAAACGCAGAAGCGTCAGAACTCGTTCTCGTTCCCTGTACGATTTCCCCACGGAAAATTCTATTCAGACACCCCTTTTATGTTCGACGTGATCTGTCTGTCCACCGAGGAGACAGGCTTGTGCCAAACGCAACGTTTTGTTATCGGTGGACCCAGGGCGAGGCTGTGATATCAGTTATCCCTTCAACAATTTTCTCTGCTTTCAATGAATTTCAATATTTGAGGACAAAAGCGAATCTCATTGACGAAAGGAACGATTTGTTGAAATTTTGAACGTGTATATTATAATGGAAATCAGTTTGAGAATTCAGAAGGTTGGTCCTTTAATCTAAATATTTTTTAATGAATGTAAACGTTATAAACGATTGAATGTAAAGACACAGAACCAATTTCTACACCTAATCTGAATATGGAAACTGATATTATGGCGAATTTAGTAGAAACAAGCACTGTTTATTTGGGCGAAGAACGATCAGATCTTCAACGAAAACTCACAGATGATCTCCTCATACAAAAGGTAAGTTTCAAGAAAAAATAAAAATTATGATACCTACTCGATCATTACGTTCTCCTGATACAAGAGGTAAGTATCGATATATAATTAAAAGTTATGCTACTTCTTTAAGTATCACGTTCTCCTGATACTAAAATGTAAAATTTCCTCAGAATTTTGATATGTACCATGCATTTCTCGTGCCATCTCCTCGTACAGGAGTACATGAACGAAACGTACAGAAAAGTAGCTCCTTGAATTAGGCAACCAGTACTGACAGATCTGCTGTACCGGTTGCCTGTCCGTAGGCGCAAACTTGCCACCTCTTCGCACATCATGTGCTCCTGATACCAAAATGTAAAATCGGCCAGAATTCCGAAATTTAACAAAAATTAGCCTCTTGAATTAGGCAACCTATACTTACAGATCTGCCGTACCGGTTGCCTGTCCGTAGGCGCAAACGTGCCACCTCTTCGCACATCATGTGCTCCTGATACCAAAATGTAAAATCGGCCAGAATTCCGAAATTTAACAAAAATTAGCCCCTTGAATTAGGCAACCTATACTTACAGATCTGCCGTACCGGTTGCCTGTCCGTAGGCGCAAACGTGCCACCTCTTCGCACATCATGTGCTCCTGATACCAAAATAAAAATTCGGGCATGACTTTTAATTGAATATCGATACTTACCTCTTATATTAGCAAAACGTGTTGATCGAGGAAGTATCATAATTTTTATTCTGGCTCGAAACTTACCGTTTGTATCCGGATCTCATGAACAGCGAAAAGATGTGTCAGGGAAAGGAGGGAAATTAATAGGAAACATTCTAGAAATTGAAGAGAAATAAAGGGAACTGCCTGGAGCCCTTAGGAGTTGTTAAGTGATATTAGGAGGGGGGAGGGTTGGGTGGTGTTAGGGGGTGTTTGGAGACGATAGAGAGTGTTTGAAGATGTTAGACTGTGGTAGGAGTTGTTAGTGTGTATTAGGAGCTGTCAGGAAATGTCAGGAAGTCTAAAGGAGATATTGGATTGTGTTAGAAGGACGAGACGTGATTTTTACGATCTCGATCTTGATCTGAAAAAATGTCGAAACATGCATATCGATCCCAAGTTTTCGACAGTTCAAATTGTGCAAACATTCTCGGAATATATTACTAAAGAATTGAATATCAACACGTATAATACTCACCTTTGTTTTATTAGAATCGATATACAATATTTGCAGTTCTTAGGTTATACGGGTTTAATGATTCCATTTCGCACAGAATGCAGGTACATTACAAATAGGATAATTTTATGTAGTGCAAAAAAACAACATTTCAGAAAATACATATTTCGTAGTTTGATCTATAGTTTAAATATAGAAATTGTTGTGAAAATTGACTAACATTTTGCAATAAAAATATATCAATGTTAATACATAATCTATAGAAATGAGTTTTTCTGAGAACTAATTATATTCCTGCTAATCTAAATCTATTCTCACTTTATACTTTACACTTTACACTTTTGCACTTTTGCACTTTTGTACTTTACACTTTAACACTTTACACTTTGCATATTTTATACCTAAAGATCTTATTACAAGTTCGCAGCCATTAGTTCTCGGTATTATTCGCGACGAATGATTGTTCGTCATGAGTAATACCGATTACCAGGTCTCACCACGTGGAGGTTGCTGCGACTGGAGACCCGGAGATAGAAAGAATCAAATGTTCCTTCGATCTCTCTCTATATAGAGTATACATATGTAGATGTATACTCTAAGTAGAGCAACGAGCTTAATACTAAGTACGAAACCATGGAAATCAAAGAAAACAAAGTCCCTTTGATTTCCATAGTCTATGTCTGACTCTGCCAAATAATTATTTCAACTAAATGGAAGCTTAATGGAAATCGCGACACGACGCGACCGTATAATTGGACTTACAGAGTCAGTCCCGTTTCCTCTGGTGGGTCTGATTCGAGAGAAAGACGATCAACGTCTCCGCCAGTACTCTACTCCCTGCATACCTGCTGCCGAGGGCCCAGGTCCCAACCTGACAGTGTACGACGTAGGTAGCACCGCGTCGGGGTGCCCTGCCCTGGCGACACCAGGTATGTCTGACAGTCGTAGAGTCCCGAAACGGAGTTCTGCTCTCTGCACAACGTCAGGAGTCCAGGACACGACTTGCATCCGTCTGACGGCTCTTTTGAGCTGCGCTGCGCCGGGAGCCTGGACTTCGCCTGACGCGTACAGAGAGTAGAAGATTCCTCGGAGGCGTCGATTGACCATTTCTCAAATCAGACCCACTAGAGGACGGCAACCGATCTCGGCCAGTCACATGGTTGGTCACTACACTTATCACATCAAGCAGTAGTGACCGAAGTGGAGCACGAAGTTGCGAGTCCAATATGGATTTACGAACAAACAAAATAAGTTGATTAATAATTATTTGGCAGAGGAGACACTCGTACACGCAACCTTAAAACTAACCAAACCAAACTAAGATACTAAAGGAAACTACAAATAGGAGGGACGCGAGACGCGGACGCACGATCGCGAGATCCATATCGAACGAAGGATCAACGATGAATGAGCTCTCGCTCCTCGCATACCTGCTAGGACGCGGTCGTGCGTCGTAGATTGTTTGTGCCTCTCGAAGTAGAGAAGGGGAAGGGTGAACAACAACCGCGTGACATGTCGTGACATGTCGATTCGAAGGCTCGTTGGATCCATCCACAAAAGAATTTACAAAACATTAATACCACACCATAATCATATTTCCCATCATTGTTTAAATAATAAGTATTGTTAATAATTAATTTAACTATTGTCAGAAATTAATATTTAGTTGGTGCAATCAGCAGATATTAAAATATTGACAAATTTCTCACGATTAATGTCTCGAATGAATATTTATTCCTAACCGTAATTATTAAAATATATTTAATTGAATACTAAATGATACTGTATGTATCATAAACGTTTAATTATTTCGAATTAAGTTTTAATTGTTCCAATCACAAGATATTAAAATATAAAAAAATATCTCACGACAAGCTGTGTAACGGGACATATTTATTCTGTTACTACCTACCCATTTCATCGCCTCACAGCATTTTTCACCGTATAACGTGACATGAATTTCGGCTGTTTGAAAACAAGAAGATTTTCAATCTTAAAAAGCAGCCAGAGTCGAGTAACGTAGCCACAATCTTCGGTAATGAGAGGGCGTATATAGCTTTTGTTTCGAAAACAGCCAGCACGTTGTTGGAACCACCGATACAAAGACACGATGGACCAATCCGAGCTGCATAGAGAGAAGGCTGCGCGTCGATATCCCAGACGGTCATTGGTGGTACAGTGAACGCAAGAAATATCGGCTCAAAAAAACAGTTTTACTTTTCCTTTTTGCTGGAAAGATCGTAAATTGCTGAGATTTCTCCTTTACACCGAAGAGTGTAGAAGATAGAGATAGTCGTGTATCATTCAAGGCTATTGAGATGAGTAATGCTGTAGAATTTAATTTTTTAGCAACAACGTATGGACCTTGGAGTGCTGTAAAATAGAGACCGATAAATCGGCCTTATATCGAAGTATTTCAATGTTCTCTAAATGTATTACACGTGATACATCACAGACAATTAAAACGAAACATTAAAATATATATTCGATATTCTGAATCTCTTTGTAGGAACAAATTTAGGCTTTTAATGTGTTCTTCCCACATCCAAGAGAATATATATAACTCCCTTGTCTGAAATGATAAATTATTCTAAACGGAAGATATAAATTCATAGATTGCCCTTGGGTTTCCCGTTTCAAACTGTGCGTGTCGGATAATGACCCTTGCTGTATGTTTGTCCACAGCTTATTCACCCCTTTGTTGTCGGTCTGCGCGTCTCCTTGCGTTGAAGCACGACGGGTTGCCGTAATTCAGGCGCCTGGCCAAAATAAACCTTCGTCGCGCTCTACCAGATTGTTTTTTTATTTTCAGTTTAATTATCGAACGCCGGTACAGTCCTCGATGAAAATGCAACGTCGATACATCGACGTGGAGTGATAAAAATATTAATATATATGAAATAGATTTATAATAATGTATATAAAACATCAGAGAGAAATAATCTGATACGTAATAGTTCATACAGGTGCACACAACTAAAAGTTATCGCAAACAAATGAGACTCGTTACTCGTTTTGTCAGGAATATAAATTTTATCTCACCCTTCCAGTTCTGAATT